CCAAAAATGAAAGATTAAGTGGATATTTGAATTAAATGTTTGGTTAATTGCCAATTAAACAAGGATTTGATCGTCCTGTAAGTATAACAGCAGCAATTATTTTGGCTCCCTTTGCAGGCATTTGTAATAACATGTAATGTACATAAATTGTTTACTTTGTATTACATTATGTATTTTAACAGTGTTATTCAATGAAACCATATAATTATTAATTAACCAATCATTATTGCCTCATTGTTGCATTTTAAGTAATTTTAAAGGCTGTTGTTGGCTTAGGTCTATTTTTATTACCACAAAAATATATTATGTTAATACTTCTTTGTAAATTATTATTTGAAGTAACAAAACCATGGTTAATTTGTAGTTACCATGGCTACAAGAACCATGATTTTTGGTTTTATTCGTGTTGAAACCATGGCTAATTTTCGCAAGGGGACATGGAAACTCTGAGAGAATATTAGATGCGTTGTTGGTGGTGAAATTATTATCAACATTAAAACATGTTATTAACGTCAACAGCCAAAAAAGTTTCACAGGATTATAAATGTACCTGAAAGTGATGCACAGGCTTCGTTTTCATTTATTTTATTTTTTTTCTCAGACGCCGGATTGCTATTGTCTTTTCACGGGCATAGATAGTTGTCCATCAATTATGATCATGAGGTGCTCGCGGGCTCGCGGGCATGGATGCAGGAATGGCGCATCACGTTTTTTTTTTTTGAGCAACTGGGATGGTGCCCCCCCTGTGAGATGGTACCCTACTCAAACTGCATACTCTGCGTATAGGGAGTGGCGGTGCATGATGTACCACAAGAAGCATGTTATTTAGCTTACCTGAAAACAACAACAACAACAAACTGTTTATGTCATATGCTGTGAAAATCATTCACTGTTTCACCATGATTGTAATCCCTGTGTAAATACATTTATACTTCCTTTGTGCAATAAATATGTTGTGATAATGGAGAAAAGTCAAACGCTTCAACACCATTTTCATCACTTGTTCATTTAGTTTGTCTGTTTTCTCATTTCTCTGGTCACTGTGGTATCTCTTGTCTTTCTCAGCAAACTCTCTGAATATGGCCAGTTTTCATTGTTTACATTCTTCGTTTTTAACTCTGCACTGAAAGTGAAGATGGGACATGTTTCTACAACAGTGACAGTGTGTTTTATTTTTACTGTTGAACATGTATTTACATATTCAGCCTTAACATCACTTTGTAACTCAAAAAGATCTTTGGCTACACTTTCCTAAAATGGTCCTCTCTACTGCTGGCTTTAAAGTGTATACTAAAGTATACTCAGTATACTTTATTTAAAATAAAAATAAGAGTGTACTTTCAGTCTACTTTTCATGTATATATATATATATATATATATATATATAGCAAGATTTGAAGAACCTCCGACACTTTGATCTTCTGAGACAAGGCATCTGTTTCCACACCTCACTGAGAGAATATGCGGGAAAATGTCTTTCTCACCTATGCATTAATTTCTTTTCATCCACTTCCTTCCCCTCACCATCCTCCCTCCACTCATCTCACTCAGAATGGTCAATAACATAATATAATGTTTTACATTAATGCAAGTGATAATCACAGTCATACTTGGTATCATTTGAATTGTGTCTGTGCGACTGGTCTCAATCTTCCAAGAAACGTCTTTTGGCAAACCATCTTTTGACGTTAAAATATTACTGTCAGGTTTTTACCAAAGACGAGCAGTGAAGAATTAGCGCTGAAAAGGCATGGACAGTTATTTTTGCGCCTGACCTTATTAAATATGTATTTGTAGGAGTTTCCCTTTCAGACAAAAAAAATATTTTTATTAAAATGAATCACGCAATGAGATTTACTAACGTTTGCGCTTGTCAAATTACTGGTATTTGTGCCATTGTTTAACGCCAACAAAAAAGCATGTTTTAAACTATTTTACGCTTGAAATGGCTGCAATTATTGTTGCTAGAGAAGGAACCGCAGAGAACAGAGAGCTGGTGGTATAAGGGAGAGGATTTTTTCCACACGTATTAATTTATTTGGAATGCCAGAAGAATACATTATCCGAACATATAGTTTGCCAAGCCATGTTATTTTTAATTTGCTTTAGGAAATAAAAGACGACTTCGAACTCTCAACTAGGAGTCACTCAATACCAGCTCTATCAAAGCTTCTAGCAAACCTTAATTTTTTGGCCTCCAGTTCTTTTCAATGAACTGTGGCTTCTTTATTTCTTTATTCTTTATTTGCGACTATGCTAATTTGCACTGTGCTTGGTATATTCCGTTGGTCGATATGCAAATGAGATGTTGTGTCTGTGTACTTTAATTTGCGTGTTGTTAATAAATCACCCACAGAAATTTCCACGGCCACCGGCACTGTTTTGGAATTGTGCTCTCACGCTAATTTGCCCTGTTTAGTAAAACTGGCCCTTAAAAGTAATACAGATTCTAAGAGTTTAGAGATATTTTGCTCACTGTAGAGGATGTGCCATTTCCCATTGTCTTTCATGCAAATTTCCATCTGTCCTGTCTCCATTTGGAGGATGTTTGTCTTGGTCTGAGTACTTTCTAACGGTGGTAGCCCCTCAACTTTATAAAATTTAATCTCAATTTATTCTATAAAATTTTTATTTGTTTGTTTGGGCACCAGACAGGCCTTTAATCCTGTCAATAAGTTAACTCTGGATAGCTCATTAAAAACCACCAGTACATATGGAGGACTTGAAAGGGAGCAGAATCAAATTAAACTCAGAGAAAAAAAAAACATTTCATTTGCAAATTTATTTTAGAAAACCCATCAAGAATCACATACCCCAACACAGCAAAACATAACACTCAGCTTCAGTTATCACGGTTAAGACATTTGCTCACTGGCGATTTCCCATACATTGGTATGCGCTTAGTCTCAGTCACGATTGAACACAAGCACCCAAAACATAAATGAAGAATAACTTAGTCAGAGCAAACCCATTCACTTATGGAATTTACAACTCAGTTCCGCATTCAAACTTTCTTTCTTTTTTACGTTAAAGCAAAGCAAACTGAAGAAAAAAAAATGCTTACATGTATGTGTGGGGTGGCGTGTCTGTTTGACGTGCGTGGTGTGTGCATGTAATGTGTGTGCGTCCAGTTTGTACCCAGTGCCGCTGTCTTCTTCAAATGAAGTATCAGGTGAGTAGCTAGAGCTTCGTTCGCAGCACAGACCAGGAGAACATTCGGTGAGGCTTAATCCAAGGCACGCACCTTTGCCGGCACCCGAAAGAGAGAGTTTGTGTCTTGGCGTCCCAGCTGCACTCTCGATCACACCGTCACGGCATCCAACCCCAGGAAAGCATAAGCCACACAAATTGGTCACTGCCCGCTCTTTCACCTCACGTTTTCCTCCCAGGCGGACTCATTTCTCATACCGGAGCACAGAACTTCTCCCATTGTTCAGTCAGCACATAGTTCCATAGCTTCGAGACTTGGCACAGCACACACGTCACCAGTCACTTCCGTTCACATTCGTTCAGGTTCTTCCATTCACTTTCACTTCTGTTCACATGAAAATACCCCTCCGTAAATAATTCGTCACAAAGTATCCACTTCTTCTAATTGGTCAACAGCATAATATAAAATAAATAATCAATTGGTGATCGGATTCCATTCTGCCACAACTTAAGGTAATGTTGCAAGTAGATCAGGGCACTTCTGCAGCCAGATGAGCCTGTATCGTAGAGTGTGTCCATACTATGTATTTTTCTGATGTACCGTGAAACCGGTATAATTTTGAAAAATACCGTGATAGAAATTTTTGGTCATACCGCCCAGCACTAAGCATAAGCCACACAAACTGGTCACTGCTCGCTCTTTCACCTCACGTTTTCCTC